TTTTAAATTCTTGGACTGATAGTGTAATCATCTCTGGACGATACGTCAGTTTTCTCGATAGACAACAAACATTTTTTCACAATAACTGACCTGTCCCTTTCGGCTGGTGATTCTTTCCATAACATTCTCATTTCCAGTATGCTCGGTATCACTCCCGTCTCTTCACCACATCGAACAAGTGGATGACAGTCAAGAATAGCTCGCATGAGTGTTGTGCCACTTCGTGGCATGCCACCGATAAAAATCATCGGATACGTTTTTGTCGAACGATTGTTAGTAATTGTTTGTTCACTGATTTGACTTTGTGATGACCATGATTGTTGTTCGCTCAAAACGCTATTGGATGTTGAATAACTCATTCCAAGATGAAAACCAAAAAGAAAAAAAATAGCAATCATAGAAACTATACCAAGAAGACATAGAGATGGATTGCGAATGAAACGTTGAAGCATATTGCGTCGTATACGACGCCAAACAGCCGACCATAATATAATCATCTGTAAGTATTATTCTTCAAAACCGTATCTAGAAAAAATTAAAAAAAGAGAATATAATGTGGCACAAAGATGAGTTTCCACATATTACATAGAAGAAAACAAGCTAGTGCTCATCAATAAATAGATTCACACATCGTATTCCGAAACAGTTACAAAACTCTAATGAATTTTTTAATAAAAATATTCACTTAGCAATCAAAGTATTCAGTCGTCCAGATATTTTGGTGGTGTCTAGAATGTGGATGTGGATGAAGATATTAGTGTAAGTTTGGCTCTTGTGTTTACTCACACATATAACTTTCACAAGCTAAAGTTTACCCACGCCTTTCATGATCTATCTCAGCCCAACTCCATCTTCTCAACGGTGTATACTTCATTATTATATATTCGTCAAACTAAAACGAATCTCTCGATCCGACTGATGTTGAGCGAAAACGGGAAACTAGAAACAACAGAAAGTCGCTAACAGTTCTGAAATATTTTTTACAGAAACTTTTCGAAATTCGTGCTTTAGCTCTATGTAACAAATATTCCGGTCGTGGTACGAAGGCGTTGAACAATACCAATTGCAAAATAAAAGTTTATGAGTATTTCAGCGACTTTTTAAGATCAGTTGTAAAAATGTTCTTACAAAGCGTAAATGAACTATATAAACAATGCTTTATTTTATACATATATTGTCCAAACTTTTGTCTCAAACAAAAGAAGTCGAAGTCAAGTCTATGTTGCATTGTTGAGAAATAAATTTTGATATTCTTCCAAAGAGTTTGGTATTCTTTATTAGTCAACAGAAGAATAGCAAATATCGACCAAAAGAACTAGACACATTCATTGATTATTCATTAAATTGTAATTCAATTATCAAAATTATTATTTTCTTTGTCATTATTATCTTCTACTATTGAATGTGTACGTCTTCTCATCTGATTATAGGATCATTTTACTGGACCCTACCTCAAGTCATCATTTTTTTTTCAATATAAGGTAAATTTCCGTTGTGAAAAGTGTGATGTCGATAGAAGCTAATGTCTTGTAACAATACTTTTCTCAAACATGATTTATCAAACCGTAATAGGAATTCTAAACGTCTTACGATAACGGAAAAGAGATAACGAGAAGAAAATTTTTTTATGGGAGCAGGAAATGGAAATCCAGAAAAGTCGTTCTTCTACGATACTAGAGACTCAATCCAGATCCAAAGATATGTACTTTAGTTCTATACACGTTGTGTGGACTAAATTTATTCGGAAGCATATGTTTTGCTCTGTTATGAAGAAACTACAGATGGAAGAAAGAACTCTTCTTACTTCACCTATGCATGTGTTTGTTTAAAAGAGAGTCCAAAAGAAAAAAAATGTCTGTTTATGAGTCGTTATTGAATGAATTTTTTTTCTTTCTCTTCTGAAGGCATGAAAAAAATTATTTTTATGATTTGTACATCGAGTCGTTTTGAAAATGTAAATGTAAATAAAATATTGAAATCCTCAATCACCCAATGATGAATCAAGAAGGCTCCCTCTACATCTATGCTTCTTCTCTTCAACCTTGGGTATGGGTGAATCTTCTCTTCACACACATTCGCAGCTTTTTCTTCTTATAATCTGATGCAGAATTCGGCAATATCCTATAGTGTTTTATTTTATTCTTCAAAATATAAAGTAAACAAGCAGAGTTACTACTAAATAGATTACATATAAAATATTAAAGAAAAAAAAATCTGAATTAAGTCAATAATCCTTTTTTATTTTCACTGAACAATGGAATATGGATTTGAATGGAGGATAGAGCCACACTTCACGTCCGATTGTGACAATAATTGATTCATTGACATTACGCATAATAAAATGTTTGATTTGGTGTTTTTTATTCATACTTCAAATTATTGAAAAAATTCAGATAAGAACAAATATGTGCAGTGTTGAAATATTCTGATCGAATTTTTGATTACAAAAAGACATAGTACACATCATCATTGTGGATATACAAGACTTTGTCGTTTAAGAAGAAAGATCGAGATCTCATACATCATTCCACTATTCAGCCAAAATATAGAGCTTTCTAAGCACTACAAAGTCTTCCATTCTCTTTTTTCTAGGCTTATAAGTGTATACGAAAAAAATTTCTAATACTCTTTCCATCTAAATAAACTTAAACATCAATATTTTCTTCCCAAGATTCGAGTGGATTATCTTTTTTTCGAAAGAACAATCAAGTTTTAACGATGAAGCTTACAAAGTCATTGACCTATGATAATTAAAATATTTTATTATGGTTCAATCTTCATTTAGACATGTCAATTTATTAGCACATCGTACACATTATCACAATATTGATAAATATCTCGAACAGTTCTAAATATAAATATACCTTAAATCAGAAAGATAATATCATAAACAAGTGAAAAACTAGCTTATATGATGCCAATCATGTGCAAATAATCATCAAGTCTTTGTGGCTCAGTATATGTCTCTTCGATGATTGTGTCTAATTCCATTACTCGTCGCATGTGAATCGTATACGAACGTAGAAAGACAGTTCAATTTAAGCAAAAACTGCAATTGTAAAGTTCAACGTGCTTGTGAACGATGCCGTTTTTCTTTTTCATATGTTTATTATTATCCTCTTTACTCATATCTAATGATCATCGATTCATCAATAGCTTATGACTCATTGGCACTGCTCTGCTTCTCATATTCGTGATTTGCATACGATACTCAATCATCCTTCTGAATCATTTTTGTCATGCGCACTAACAAAACTATAAAGTGCATCATTCATTTCGTATAATTAAGTGAAATAAAACAAAGCAATCACTAACTTGACAGTAGTGCCCTGCACTGGTACGGCTTTTTGCACTCGAACCCGAATTGAACCACATAGCTGTATTCGGTGTCTGAGCGGACCCGATCCAATGCAAATCAAAACTTGCAAAATACTTCCACAGTTAGAGTACAGATTTGAACCTGTTACTTCGTAGGAAAAAGCATACTATTTAGTTTCTTCCGTAAACGGAAATACAGTATTACTTGATCTTTATCCTTATAATATGAAGGCAAAGAAATTCTTTATTTTTGAAAAATAAATATAAATAAATAAAATGTTTATATTTACAAAATAAAGATAAATGAACTCTTGATTTACAAAAATGAGGATTAAATAAAGAATAAATATTTTTTTTTCTGTGGTAGGTAAATAGAAAAACTCCGAATATCACAACAGCATATGTTATTGAATATTCTTTCCTAATACCAACATCACTTTGACAGATGATATTATGAAAAAATCAAATTGATACATGAAAAGTTATGCAAAACACTCTTTTGTATATTTCATTTTTCTCTATGGTATCATAACTTTTTTTGAACTACTTGGTCAAAATTAGAGACTTAGTTCTCATTGGAAAAGAAGTTTCGTTTTTATTTATTTTATCTTTATTTTTCAATCATAAAGAATTTCTTCAACTTTATTTCTTATGAAGATGATGATTTAATTTATATTTATTCCTTATTATAAAAAACAATAAATATGAAGTAACACCCATGAACGGAAGCAAAAGAAAAAGATCATCTCAAATTTCATCCTAAGGGAAGTCAATCAAGTGATTCAGGATTCGCTTGACATCTTTCTGCTTTTGAAATTCGATCAATTTCATTAAGTATAAATTTTGTACTTGTTGATGAATCTTAAATAGAAATAAATATTGATATAAATAATATATACTCATTAATACATAGATAAATTTTTTTTCCGATATGACAACACACGTTCGTTTTTTTTTTGATAATTCGTTTTCTTCTGTGACTCAATTATTTTGTCGAATGATCCTTAATCATCTGCAAATGAGTTTCCATTAAAAATGAATTCTTCTATTACAAGAATATTGCTTGTCGATTCTGTGATCTGCTCTCAAATACTATTAGTTGTTCATTCATGATCGAGTTGCTTGCCAATGCTATGCTTTTAAATAAATAACGGTTGAAAAAGGTAAAAAAATTCTTTAAAAATTTCTAAATCTAATCGACTAGCGAGTTAGATACCGGGTATTATTTCAAACGTGTACCCGACCCGAAAATTTTTTTCATATACGATACCTCGATCCGACCCGGTGTTGCAGGACACTATTCATATATCATGAATTTATATTTTTCTTATTAACTTATTAATTAAAATAATTTCTTTTCAATCGAGAAATTTTTTCTAAATAATTCCATGATATTTTGCTGATAATAATTTAAGTATTTCGAAAAACATACATAACAAAGTTGTACATTTTTAATAATTTGAGAATCACATGCACAATATTCGTCTATTCATTAAAATCGATCGTTTTCTAGCTCGATAAAATATTGAACTTAAGCTTGTACATATATTATTATATCATTTTGCAATTCTGATTTAGTTTCTTCTAATCATTTAGCACAGAAAAAAAAGACAATAACAAAAAAAAAAAAAATATTAAAAACACATAGCAAATAAAATCAAATCTCATTATTTCTCACTCTATCAGACAAGTGTTTCAGGATTTAATTCAATATTTACATTTTTATCATGATCATCAGTTGTAATAGAAATATTTTGTTCATTATGCATACAATGACATGTACATTTTTGTTGTTGACGACGAATTGTAGCTGCTAATCGTTGATATGGACATTGTCCATCTTGTATAGTTTCATAAATATGTTGAGAATCTAATGGATAATGTGAATGTAATGGATAAAATGTTTGAGTTGATGAATTAAAATGACAATGAATTGGTGCTGATGAAAAATGAATCATTGGATTATAACCAGTATTAATTGAACATGATGGTAATACAATTGGACAAAATGTTTTTGGTTCATATCGATGTTGCATATAAAGAGATTGATTATGATCAAATTTTTGTTGTTGTTGTAATGTTAATAATTCATTTGGATCTTCATAAGTACCTGTTGTTGTTGTTGTTGATGTTGTTTGTTTTTTTTGTGTATCAAGTGATGTAAATACTGGTGTATCACCATATGTTATTGATGAACATGATGATGTTGATAAACGTTTTGAACAAAAAAATGGTCGATGTGTACAATTAGTTTTTGAATTAATAATTTCTTTTGTTCGTTTTTGTTTCCAACAAAGAATAATTAAAAGAAGATTTAAAAGAAGAAGAACAATAATAAAAATAATAATTAATATAAGAATAAATGAAAGAGTATAACGACGTGTTAAATTTAAACGTGATGAATTTGTTGATAAAGTAATTGATTGAACAATTGTTTTTAAAGATGATGTTATAGGATAAGGAGATTCAAATGAATTTCTACATGAAACTTTTATTAATTGTTCACTAGAAATCATTAACCAAAAACCTTTTCTTGTAATAACATCATTTGTTTTAAATATTATATTAATTGATGTATTATGAATAAATGATGATATTAATTGATTATTTTTTTCTATTTTTGAATCACAATATGTTTGATTTTCAATTTGTAAATAATCACGTGAACATAAATTTATTTCATCATGTTCTTCAAGATAAAAATCAAGAAATTCAATTATTGATTTATTTGTATGAATTTTACATGAACAATTTAATGAATTTTCATATTCATAAGGATAATTTGGACTACGAATAAATAAACGATGTTTCATATTAATTAATGATGTTAATATTAAATCATTATCACAAACAGATAAACTTTGACCTTGTAAACATGAATAATCAAGTACCATATAATCACTATATTGACTACCTAAAAATATAACAAATACAAAAAAGTTAGTTAAAGACATCCTTTAACATCTCATATTACAATAGCTTATATGAAATTTAAGTGCTAAGAACATTAACATTGTATTTTTCCAAAACAAAAAAAAAATATTATTGATACACTATTTTGTCATGCTGTTCTACAAGATTTCGAATACTTTCAGGTTTAAAACTCTGGTGTTTTCTCTATAATAGTATCTTACAATGATGCTATGTGATATTATGAACATATAAGGAAAATTAAAACATTTTCCATCGGCAAATAATTAAAGTTTTTAATTAGATAAAACTTATAAAGTAACAGAGATGTTTCTATTGCATTGAGAATACAAAAATTTCAATCATCATTATTCAGCCTTTCTTTTAATTTCCGCAAATATTATAATACTATATAGCATAAGAACTAGATGAAATTGATGAACGTTAATAATTAGATTTGACTGATATATATTATCAGTGTGTGGTATTAGATGTTGCTAAGGCATGCGTAAACGAACAAAATTTCATATCATATTGCATAAGTTAATAGTATTTTGTCTGTTAACTTTATTTTATGAAGATATATGAAAGATCATATACAGTTTATACCTATTCCGAGATATATCTTATTTATTTATTCGATATTTTAAATCTTTCAACATAAATACTTTTATTCTCTATCTAGAGCAATAAATTGAATATATTAATATCTGACATAAGATTCTATCGAAAATTGCATACCTTATTTTCAACTATCTCACAAGACAACGAATTTGACCTATAAAAAGTTTGTTTTATTATACAAAAAAAAAATGATTTGTATACCGATAACATTCAAGTCTACGAGAGTTCATCACATTTTTCTACGACCTTTTCTTAAAACAAATTTATCAAGTAAGAAAGTGTGACAATCCCTTATGTTGTTCAAACTATTTTGCCTTAAGGAGTATACACTAATAGCTATAACATAATGTCAAAACATTATTTTTTTGCAAGAAGAATCAGATCAAAAATTGAATAATATATAGAAAGAGTTTTACCAAAAGGGAATAAATTTTCTATGAATCATCCTGTAGATATTTTTCATTAATTATAATAACAGATTGTCAAAAAAAAAACAAATCTTCGAAAAAAATAACATCTATTCTGATTTATATTTGATTATGTAGTATTCTAAAGAAAAATTATAATTAAAATAATTGATAATCGAAAAAATTTTGTATTGTTGAAAAACTTTTCAATCATTCATTCATAATTAGTTCTTTATTAGATTTTTTTTTTTTGATTTAATCATGTAAATTTTAAGTTGAACAAATACATATATGATATTATTTTTATAAATTTAAGCGAATATTTCAAAGGTTTCTCATAATAATAGCACTTAGTACATATCGATGCAAATTGAACATTTGTACAGCTTAGCAAACAATAAATTAATATTGTTCCATGCACTTAACCACGTCCTGTTTCTCTCTCTCTCTCTTTCTCATTCTCGTTTTGAAAAACAATGAATAACGGAAAAGTACTATAGCATAGAGAAAAATAAAAATTAATAAATCAATATGATTGATTGTTTTTTTATTTTCACTTACATATATGTAAATATTGTGGATTTAAATCAATATTACAATATTGAAGTCCATTACATTCCATTCCAATATATGTTGTACGTGTTGTACAATCTCCTGGTTGATATGAACAAGTTTGTGATAATGTTTTATGTACACCGAATGTTAAATTTTTTACAAGAATATATCCATTATTTGGACAAGAAAGTGTAATTGATGTTTTATTTGATGATATTAATTGTCGATTATTAGGATTATTATTATTATTATTTATTGTACAACCATGAACTATTTCACAATTAATTTGTTTAATTTTTAATTGAAATAAAAAAATGTAAAAGAAAAATAATTTAACAATCATCTAAAATAAAATATAAGATATATATGAAATATAGATTATTTCTAAATTCAAAATATGTTTCATGATGGTATAATGTGCGCATGACAAAAGTAATTTAATGTAACATGATGATCCTTATCAGAAAGAGTGTTTTCTCACGTACATATCCTGCTGTGTGTTTTGAACATTTATTTGAAAGATGAGATGTTCTTTATGCATAGAAATAGAAACAAACTCCGCCTATTTACTTCACACTTCTATACTTAAGATCAGAGATGAAAAAAAAAACAAAAAGAAAGGTCATTGCAAGCAATTTTATATATATATATATATATATATTCATATCCACTTACTTTTTTTTTTCAAATCATATAAAAGAAAATTGCTTTGTCCCTCACAACTCATTCATCATCGATCTTATGCATCCATGTGTCTATGAAGGTTAACTGGCAATAAGTAATTGCATATCTCTACTATTATCTACATCCGTTTGATAAAAGACTATAATTTGTGTATACATAGAACTGTATTCTTTTATCCTATTCTATCATCTCTCCTTCCAATAATACTATCATCATTATTCATTAACTCTTGACTGCAGTTCTATTAGTAGAAATAAAAAGATAAAACGAACTGCTGATTGACTCATGACGATTTTCCAGTTGACCCTCAAGCTACAGCTGTGCGGTCAATCATTTATTTTTTTCATGTTTCTATTCATAATGTTATTCTTTTAGGCTGTACCTCCCGAATGAGTATCAAGTAGCAAACGCCTATTGTTCCACTGAGAGAGAGGGAGAAAAAAAAAGAAAGAAAAAAAATAAAAGATATATATATATGTATGGAGTGTACCGCATTCCCAAGGCAAATCAATAAAAGAGAGATAATCAAAATGAAAATATCGACTTTTATACAAGTTATGAATACATGAATTTTGACTTGTTTTGAGTATTTATGAACAAAAAATATGATTAATGAAGTAGAAAATATATATATATATATCATCGATTCATTTTTAAATACATAACGATTAATCTAATGATAGTGGCACCAACAGTACCACAATATATGATAAAAAGAGAGATTGTCTATATGTGTAAAAAGATCAAATGTGAATAGGAAACAGCTTTGATTAGATATGACAATGTTATAAATATTAATTTTTCAACATATTTTATTTTTGTTATAACCAAGCGGCAATTTCATTGTATTATCCCTAAGGCACTTTTATACTCCAGCTGTGACTTCTTGTCACTGAGATGATAATCATGATTCGCCTTCTTACCTTCACAACATGTCGTCGTCGTTTATCGTTTTAGATTTGTTCATATACACATATACAGCTGTGATGATGGCGACTAACACATTCTCTCTTTTTCTCTCTACTATTTTCATTTCATTACACATCTCAAAATTGACCATCGAGAAGAAGAGAAGAACAAAAAAAAAGAAGAGAAAATGACCGAGTGAACATAAAGAATGCCAATCAAGCAAAGAGTGTGTGCTATGTGGGGACTTTCGCTTTGCATGTATAGAAAGATAGTTTATTTGAACAGACGATGTTGTCGTCATGCGAAATATGATCAATTTTCAAACACACACACATATATATATATATATATACGATTTAAGCGTTTATCTTTATGCATACAAAAGGGTGATGTTGAACAGTGGCATCCATGATTGAGAGCAAGCATTCATTTTTCTTTTTATAAAAGAGATTTATTGTTGTTAGTAGAAAGAAGTTACTCGTCTTGGACTAATACTACTTACTTTGTCTAATCTTTGTCTAGTTGTTAAACTTATTGCATAAACCTAGTAACTAACATCATCCTGTCATTTTTTGCTTGAATGCTTTACTTTTTTTTTTTCTTTGTGAATGAAGAGAACAAAAGAAGGAAGAGAGATCAAGTTAATCAAAAATGCGAGAGATATTGATTAAAACACTATCATTTCCTGTACTGAGTGTCTTTAACAAACCTTGAGGCGATATGTGATTATATGTGAGTATCTAACTGCAGCTGTCTCATGCTTATTTTTTTTTTTGTCTTATTCAAATTGTGATATGATCTAAACTTTTCTATGTTCACAATTTCAAATATTGTTCTGGACAATTGATCAGAGTAACAAAAAAAAAAAAAATGATCCTTTCACTTTCACCATATTTCACATGACAAAATAATTTGAATAATGATAAATTTGCATTGAAATCAACTAACGATGATGAACATCATATAGACAATAGAAAATGTCTTTTCTAATTTAATAAGTGTGCGCTCCGCCTTCGTCGTTTTCCTCTTCTCTCTAAATGATGATTGATAAAATAAAAAAAAACGGGACAGAAACCAACAGAGATAATTATTGCTATATTCAATAAAATAACGAAGCAATTCATATTGCAATGACGACTGATTATGAAGTTTTGTTGAATTAATGAATCTGATTACGTGTTTTTTTTTCTTTTGTATTGACAAACTTTCGTTTATCATATGAGTGGGGAAGGCAAAAGAAGAAGAAGCAAAAAAAAAAAAAAAAAGAAATTATCATGTCCTTTTCTTTTGAAACACTTAACTTTTTCAGTTGTCCTTATGGCGTAATCATTACAACTCGTAATTTCCGTTTGAATTATTCTCACTGACTGAACTAACCGGACATGATGATGATATAGTACTGACGAACAAGTGAAATTTAAGATAACTTTCTTTTTTCTTTTTTTGTGTGTCTTTTATTGTTAAATTCAATTTGCATATATGAGACATATACATCATATTCTTGTTCCTTTAGGCTGAATGAATAAAAGAATAGTAACTAGTTAGTCTTATAGCCTAGAAACAAAAGATCAATATTTGTACTATAATGTACTAAAGTAAATGTATGTGATCAATCGTTTGAAGTTATACCGAATATTGACTAAAATTAATTTCCGTTTGTTATACTTACAACGTACTCAGTTAGAAGTTTCATTGCCATATCAATACATAGTTATTAAATGAGAAGAAAATAGAACATATGCGCATATATTTACAGATTGCACATACCAAACAGTATTACGATTGTGTATACGTAGTTATAAAGAAGACGAAGAATAAGATGCAACATTCCCATGAGACGTAAGTCTTGTGTGTGTGTGTGTGTTAATGTGATAATAGTGTTGCATGTGTTCTGTAGAATAAGAAGTAGGAGCAACAGTGCGATCCATCACAAGACTACTCAAAAAAAAACGAAGAAGAAGAAGAAGAATTTGATTAACTAAGAATGAATGACGGGAAAAGATAGATCGTTTCAAGACAAAATCAATCAGTATCTTATTTTGCACTTATTAAACAATTGATGATTAGATAGATGCTGAGATGCATACTCAAGTTGTATGATGTAAATCAAATCTATATTCTTTTGTTTCTCTATTCAATATAAAATGATAGCAATAATAGTAAACTACTAATTCATATCTAACTGATTATACAGTCGATCATTTAGTAATTCATTTGAGAGAATAATATTTAATACAAAAAAAAAAAACTTGTAATAAATTTAAAAATATATTAATATACTATAAATGTTTTATACTATTATTCATAAATACCAAATTCATCATATTTATCAAAGAAATAATCACTATGTCAAATTGATTGTTTATATGAAAGAGATTAATGTATGACTTAGAGTTTGGAATCCCATTTGTACCGTCTAGACATGTACGGAATCCGAATTGGAATCTAAAGATTATATGATATTCTTAACTTTTATGACTTTTCAAGGAAAGTTTTTCATAGATCATAAATCAATTTATTATTTTGATACTAACATCTTGGAATGCAAAAAAAACACATTATGATAAATGTGGGACAACATAAATACAAATAAAATCTGTAAATATGAAACCTTCAAGGCCAAAATAAATCACCATCATATACATTCCAATGTAAAAAAAAAACAAACAGTCATCATCTCTGTTTATTTCGTTTATGAATATCATTGTGAGAAATCATTTGATAATACGTGTTTACTTGGAATAAATGATAGAGAAGTTTAAAAATGTGATTTTATTTATTTTTCTTAATTCAAATAAATATTGTTTTATGAAACATCTATGTTCTTACTAAGACTTGCGAGTGAAACTCATGTTTTATAATATGTAGACTAAAGAAATTATAATCTCTTTTTTTTTATGATTGACTTCAATTTTCTAAACCAACAAAAAGCAAAAAAACGAATAGTTTGATTATATCACAAGTTATAGAATCTACGTAATATAAGTAAATATCATGCAATTGTATATGATCAAGGTAAACAAAAATGAATCATTAGAAATGATAAAATTATATTTTACAAAAATATTGAGGTGATTAAGATAACAGAAGAATTTAATAAATATAATCATAATCGAAAAAACTATTTATTAGAATACACCTTTACAATTGATATTTTTGCAAGTAATCATAATTCACTTTGTTTAATATTTTTTTTATAATTGGAATATTAAATTTTATATATAAAGTTATCATGAAAAGATTTCAATTCATTATATCGAATCACAGAATTCGAGTACTACATAATTATCAATAGAAAGTACTAATAATTAATATCGATTATTGGTTTGTTCAAGATATCATTGTATTTAAATGAAAATTTTAGAATATTCGACTGAAGAAAGAGAAACAATGTATATATGAAAAAACTGTCATTCATAAGTTGTACGAATAGTCTACGATTATTTTCGTCATAAAAATTCTAGTTATGATAAATTTTATTATGCTACTATGTAGTTTAGTTGAATAATTACACTATACTCATCGAATAGAATATGTCTCGAAACACAACTAAACAATTTCAAATACAGAAAGATTAAGTTGTTAAAAGTTTTTGTATCATCAAAATAGGCATTGTTAAACATTAACAATACATATATGACTATATCTTGATTTATGATTAATATATTTTTATAAAGATGTTAGTTGCAACAGAAAAACAAATCTATTATGAAATGTTTTTTTTGTCCCTCTAGGTTCTATACATCTGTT